GCCTTTCTCATTCATGCAGCTTCCTTGCAGCAGACGTCCATCCAGGCGGCCTGCTCCTGAAACCACAACCAACACGCATGCAGGTACCACCCACCCAAACACACAACACACCCAGACACAGACACCGACCCCCCTCCCCCCTCACTCACTCGCAAAAAACACACGCAACACAGCCCTCACCGAAACCCCTTTGGCCCCTACCCAGGCCCTGTGCTACTCTACTTACTCCCTTGGCCAGATCCCGCGGTCATATGCACGCCCACGAGGGGTAGCCGAAGTCGACTTTCACCTGTATATCCTCCTGCGAAAGGTGGCGGTGACTGACGAAGGTTGGATAGGTCGATTGGGTTCGCCTATGGGTGGGTTCCGAGGAGGAGGGAGGATTGAAGGCAAGCGGGTGAGAGGCCTTTATCAGACGTCTTCGTACTTCTCTGTCTGTCTGTCTGCCTGTCTGTCTGTCTGTCTGTCTGTCTGTCGTAGGCGTTTGGCTGGGACTGCATGGAGGGCGTACTCTCACTCTTGCTCGGCAGGAGCTGCGTATTCTTTCTCGGCAGCAGGAGAGCCGCAGCTCTTTGATTGACCAGGAAAACCGAAGCTCTTTGGCTGCAGCCAAAGACGACGAAGGCGGGCTGCAGCGGGCTGCAGCGGCAGCTCTGTCTTTCTTCTCTGTAGCTGCTTCTTTGCCATTGCCTACCTGTCTGCCGGACTGTCTTTCTATGTCTGCACTGTCTTCGGCCGTTTTAGGCCTGAGGGATTCGATTGAATAGCTTCTTGCTGTAGCTGGCGGCTGATGCATGGACGACCGCTGGTGCCTTGTTGACTTGTGTATCTTTGCTCTTTTGCCAGCCGAGGCGCATGGATGGATGACAGGATACATGGGAAGTCGTGGAATCAACTTGCAGCGACTCCAAATGTACGATGAATCTGTCCAATGGAGAACCCATGGCGGCGAGCGTCACTCTCACCCCTCTGGCACTCGCACAGAAACCATGATTTCTGTGCGCCGGCATTCGTCGATTTAATGGCCGCACAGAAACCGCCCGAAATGTGCGTCGGTAAATACAGATTTTCCGGGGCACAGAAATGGGGCCAAATGTGCGGGGATTTTTTTTTTTGGCGCACAGAATTCGCACAGAAGGCGGGCGAAATGTGCAAGAAAAATTCATTTTTTGTCTGATGGTCATTTTCGAAGATTTCATTGCAAATAGGTACATGGAGTGTCCAGAGGGCACATACACACCGAGAATGCGTCCAATCGTGCATCTTGGGACGCATCCGATGCATGCAGCATCTGCAAACACGATGCATCTGCATACCATACACGCACATGCAATGCATGCAGATGCATCGGTCCACCACCATCCCACCCATCCATCCAACACGAGCATCCACCACGAAAAGCCTTCAGCCCTCCCCCCCTTGCATCGCTGACACATGCATGCATCATCACCCCGCCCTCCCCCGCCCTCCCCTTGGCTCTCCGTGCCTCCTCCTTCATGTCTCATGCGCTTCTTGGTCTCAGGGGCTGCAGCCCTCGGCTGCCCATCCTCCTGTCTGCACCTCCTGCGGTCGGAATCCCTCCTGCGGTCCCTCCTGCAGCGCTGAAGTGAGACCTCATGGCCAAGAGTGGGCTGCAGATGATGGGAATGGTCTGTGCCGGATGCGAAAAGGACGTGGGCTGATGAAGGGAGGCGGGGGGAAGGCATCAATGGGGTCTGCGGACTCCGTGCGGGATGCCTTTTGTAGCCGAGGTGCCGCCCGGCTGCCCTTCTTGAAAGATTCGGCCGTAGGGTAGGGGCGTGGAAGGGGATGTGCAGCATCAGCGATGGGCAGTTCGAGAGAAAAAGCGCTGAAAACCGCCAGGAAGGGCTGGGGGCGGCAAACGAGACGAGTGTTGTCTCATTTGTCTCGCGCTGCATGCATTGCATGCTGAGCCTGCACGACAGCGAATGGCCGGACAAATGATTCTGTGGAAGACAACAGCGAGAACGAAGACGGTGAGTGAGTGAGTGTCACCAGCCAGTCAGGGCAGGCAGGCAGGCAGGCAGCGAGAGGGCAGCAACAGGCAAGCACCAGGCAGGCGCAAAGGAGGGAAAACAGGGCCCAGGTTCTTGTGGCATTTTCTGGTTGCTCAGCGTGTCTGTGTCAGGTCTGTGTGTCTGCGTGTCTGACATGTTTGTGCGGACACCGATTTCACAGGCATGCGCATGGGTCCACAAACAGACAGACAGACACACACACACGATGAGTGAATGAATCATCAGACACGATGATGCGCGCAGTGGCCGATCATGTCACTGCCTGCTCACTTCCTTACACGTACACGTACGCACGTTCATCGGCCGACTGACTATCTGCTCCAAGGCTCCAAGGTCTCTACCTCTTTCTCCATCCACATCTTCACACTCGCTTGCTCGCGATGGTTGGATGTATGGGTGCTGTCTTCACCCACAGAAAGTCGCGCACACACACACAGACAGACAGACAGACAGACAGGGCGGCGAGCGGCTTTTCGTTGACAACTAGGAGCCGCTCGCCGCCCCGACCAGCAGATCACAACACAACACTTTGTGTCGTTGACATGACACGTAGCCGCAGAAACACTCACACCACTTCACCTCCTCAATACAGTTCGTCGCCAAAAAAGAGGCGGCATATCGCTACACGACTGACTCATCCATCCTCATATACATCCGCACACACATAGGAAGAAAATGACCGACCATTCACCGACGCACCAGTCAAAAATGGCCCATTTCGGGAAATTGCGACGTCTGCCCAACAGACAGGCAGCTGCCCCCGTCGCACCAACCAACGCCCGCACACCGATCGGCCTACGAATGGCCAGCTGCCGTCTTGACGCGCTTTGCGGCCGAAACCTGAAGCGACCCACAGACAAACAAGGTAAGTGATGACGGACACGTCCATGTGTGTCAGGCCTGCCTGCTCGATACATCCTCACCTGCGCCTGGTCGATGCACCCACTGAGTCGCTTCCTCATCATCGGAGGGGAGTCCTTCTTCTTCTCACTCTCGTCCTCGTCGCTATCGTCCTCATCGCTGTCACTCTCCACAGGCTTTTTTGGGCTCGCCAGCCAGCCTCGAGGATATGGGCGACGCCGCACAACCGGCCGGGGCGGCACAGCCGGCTCAGGTGGCTCGACCTCTGCCGCCTCGGGCGGCTCGACCGGCGCGGGCGGCACAACCCTGACACACACACACACACACTCACACAGAGAGAGAGAGAGAGAGGGTTCCACACGGCAAGAAAGACAGTCCACATGTGTCATGCATTCCTTGTGTGGCTTACGGCGCGGCGGCAGATGCAGACGAAGAGGATGCGCTGCTGGCCGCCTGGGTGGCGGTGGTGGATACCGCCGCTGAACGGCGAGCCAACGGCGGAGACGCCACTGACAGGCCGAACGGCCCCACAATCAACCCTGTGGTGACAGGAACAGTAGGCACCATGACTGTTGGTTCGTGTGTGTGTGTGTGTGTGTGTGTGTGGAGTTACCTCTGTCAAATGGAGACAAGAACCGCTCGGGTAGGGGGTCGTTGGGGTCCTCCTCCTCCCCATTGGGTCCCACCAGCATGCACCCCTGCTGTCGGGCGAACGCTCGTGTGTCCTCCTCGACCTTGCGGGCCACTGGGTCATCCACCATCAGCCCATACGGGAAACCATCCCTCCAACCGAACTCTGAACCGCACACACCACACACACCACATCCACACCCACACAGCGGACGTGCGCTGCTTTCCCTCTTCCTCCTGCATGCCTGTTGCTGCCCTCTCGCTCCCTGCCTGCCCTGACTGGCTGGTGACACTCACTCACCGTCTTCGTTCTCGCTGTTGTCTTCCACAGAATCATAGTCCGACCCGTCCCTGCCACTGTCCTGCACACAAAGCCGAACGAACACCACACCATTCATTATGGCTGCATACGTGTGTGTATCCATATCGGGCACTCCCTCCCCTGCCCACGACATGGCACTCACATCTTCGTCGCGCATGACCTGCCGCAGAGTGAACGGCTGGTTCAGCCGACGCAGGAAGCGGTCTGAAGCACACCATCCACACGTACCAACCACACACATCCATCCATCCATCCATCCATGCCCACTCACCCACCGCCCATGCATCCCCCTCCCTCCCTCCTTACTGAATTCTCGTGTGGTCATGTCTTTGCCGCTCTCGTCCGAATCATAGTCCGAATCGTTTCTGGGGCTCTTCTCGTCGTCCAGCTCCTCGTCAGTGGAGGAGGGGATCCATGAGTCGGGCGGCAGGCAGTAGGGGTTCCTGTGGCCCTCGGTGGGGAACTCCTCGCGACCACGACGCGGAGGAGCTGCAGTGAGAGACAAAAGACACCAGATTGCAAAGGCACGTGTGTCTGTCTGTGTCGTGTGTGTCTGTGCCTGTGTGTCTGTGCCTGTGTGTGTGTGAGGCCCATCGTGGCTTACTCCTCTCCATTTCCTCTTCCTCCCGCCGCTCCTTTTCTTCCCTCTCCTCCTCCACCTCCCAGGGGAACTTGTAGCGGCCCTGCTCGAAGTCCCACTGGGATGTCATGTCATCCTCATCAAACCACTCATCAAGATTATCCTCTCCATCGCCACCTTGGTCCTCATCGTCTGCAACACAGCCCCCTGAAGACAGACAGGCAGGCAGGCAGGCAGGCAGAGAGACAACCGGCACAGCACAGCACATGAGGGTCGAGACACCCGCCCGCCCAAGGTCATCTCTCTGTTTGCGTGGTCTGCCCACCGTCATCGGCCATCAGATCTTGGTCGTCGTCCCCCTCCTCTGACGACTCTGCCGGTGAGGATGGCTCACTGACAGACGCACCACCTGCCAGTTCCACGCAGCCACACGTGTGCGTTGCCTTCGCGTCCCATGCGCTATCTGAGCACGTACGTTCGTCTTGATCCTCCTCTTTCTCGTCCTCCTCCTCCTCTGCCTCTTCCTCGGATCCGGAACTGTCGGGCTCTGAACTGGAGTCGTCCGACTGCTGCTGGCCGTCCGTCTGCTGCAGCAGCCTCGCCATGGGAGCCACGACTGCGTCTCGAACGAATCTCACTGGCCCTGGGAGAGCGGTTTCACGGCCCTCCAGCCCTATTATGCGAGCTAAAGCTGCCGAACTGCCGAACTGAAGTCGGCAGCTTTCGGAGCTCTCGTTCTGCCGCTTTCGGAGCTTTCGTTGAATCGTTCAGGCTGCGAGAGGCGGCCGTGCTACCACAAGGCTCTGAAGCCGCGACTCTCACCGACGAGTCCCAACTATCGGCTGCCCGGCTGTTAGGGCCGCAGCAGGATGGCAGGCGTCACGAGCGAACCAGGCCAGGCAGCGGCACAACCCCCCGAGGCTCCCCTCTCTCCCTCTCCCTCTCCCCCCCTCCCCGATGAGACGAGCTTCTCTTCCATAGTGTCGGACCCTGCAAGCGCCGACAGTGAGTCGTCTTCTTCGCAGCACCCGGCTCAAGTGCTCGCCCACAATGCCAGCATGTCCACTGTCACATCAGCATCCACAGCGGCCGCGGGGCAGCCGTCGGGTGGTGCTCATGTGGCCGTCAAGGTGGAGGCCGACGAGGGGGGTCAGTGTACCCGCACCACCTGCTTTGGCACCAAGATGGCCACGGGCGGCATGTACGACGTGCCCACCTACCAGCGGGTGCCGTACGTCACATCCGGCTACAGAATCAACGTCCGCACCACGCGAGAGTGTCTGATGTCAATCTTCGCCATCCACAACGAGACCCTTAACATCTGGACGCACCTCATCGGCTTCTTTGTGTTCGTGGCGATGGCCGTGTGGTGGCTGCTGGACATTTTCTACCTCGACCACGGCAACCACCACTCGTCGCGGATCGCGTCGGTGACCGAGGCGCTGCTGGAAGAGGGCAAAGAGGGCGGCGAGGAGAGGGACACCACCACGGTGCAGAGGATAGAGGGCACGGTGCGGCTCGACGTGGCCTTCCTCCTCCTCCTGCTCTTCGGAGGGGCCTTCTGCATGCTCGCCTCAGCCATGTATCACGCATTCAGCTGCAAACACGAGCCAGGGTGAGTGACTCAAGGGAGGGCTGCCACACACGCACTGATGGCTCATCCATCTCCCTTTCGTTCGTATGCAATTGACTCACTCATTGCAGGTTCGGCCGTTGTCTGCGTCTGGATCTCTCCGGCATCGCCGTGCAGATTGCAGTCTCCATTTTCGCGGGTCAGTCAGTCACAGTGAGGGCACCGACCGCACCAGTCAGACTGCAAGCAACACCCGCGCATTTACGGAAACCAGCGGACGGTTTCTCTCTCGTCCGATGCATCTCATCTACAGGTGCGTATTTCGGTTACGCGTGTTTCCCGAGTCTGCAGAAGATCTACCTCATCTTGACGGCGGTCCTGGGCGTGACGATGGTGTGTCTGCCGCACCTGAGGTTCTTCCAGGGGCCAGCGGGGTTCAAGATCCGGTTTGGCGTGCTGCTGGGATGCGGGCTGAGCGGCCTGGTGCCGGCGCTGCATTTCGTGGGTATCGCCAAGGGCGAGGAGAGGGAGCTCCTGATGTATATCATTTACATGGTCAGTCAGTGGGGCAGACAGACAGACAGACAGATAGACAGACAGACAGACATGAGAGTGTCTGTATTGTGTCTGTCGACCCACGCACTTGATGGCTGGATGAGGATGAGTCAATCGCATGGATTTCTGTGTGGTGTGTGTATCTTGGCATGCACGGCTCCTTCCTTCGTCCACACACAGGGCGTCCTCTACCTCGGCGGTATGTGTGCCGGAGAGACAGGGGCGGAGAGAGAGAGAGTCGGCCGTAATCACATTATCTCTGTGGGTCTCTCTCTTTGTTGTGCGTGTGTGTTATTTGACTGATTGGATTGATCAGGTGCTGCGCTGTACACGTTGCGGGTGCCTGAGAGGTGGTTTGCGCCGGGCAAGTTCGACATCCTCGGACACAGCCACCAGGTGCGTGCGGTGCCTACCAACTTCACACAAGACAAGACAAGACGCAACAACACCACACACAAACACTCTTTGTCCACTCCTCTCTCTCTCTCTCTCTCTCTGTGTGTGTGTGTGTGTGTGTGTGTGTGTCAGTGGTGGCATATGTGTGTGTTTGCCGCAGCCTTCTGCTGGGTCAAGGGGATCACACAATTGTATTACTTGCGGCTCAAGGGCTGCGACCAGCTCTGACAAAATGACAGCTGGCTGGCTGGCTTCCTGGCTGGCCGCCTAGTGACACTGGATTTGTATCACTCCATTTCTCTCCCTCTCCCTCTCCCTTTGACCGTATCACGTCTGTCTGTGTGGGTGTGATGTGTGGGTGTGTGTACGCGCGTGGAATCGACCGTCAAATACGCCCTCCTTGTGGAGTGCCGTGCCCTAAGGGGCGAGGGGCATGGTGCCACACAAGAGCGGGAGGGTCTCTTACGATCTCTTCCATGAGCTGACTAGTCAGTGAAGGCGTGCACTGCATGTCTGTCTGTGCATGGGTCTGTCTGGTCTGCATGGTATACATGGTCGATTTTTGACACACATGAGTGAGTGAGTGAGGGAGGGAGGGAGGGAGGGAGGGATGGGCCTCCACCCCACCCGAGCTGGCCATCGCGCGGCGACCGGTTCCTTCCTGCCGCCCTCCCTTGTCTGTCTGGTTCCGATTGATTGATTATTTCAATCAAGTGTATGGCGTCCTTTTTTGTGCGTCCCTTTTTGGATGGCCGGTGAGCCAGTAGGGCTTGCCCGGCCGGCACTGCAGTGCAGTGGGGGACACACCCTCCTCTCTCTCTTCCTCCCTCCCTCATGCAGTGCGCTGCGAGCGATGGGCCCGGCCGCGTGGGGTGGCGTGTGGGGGGGGGGGGGGGGGGG